ACCAGCAATCCCATATGTCAACGGATGGCATGTGCCGTAATGTGCTGGTCTAGTAAGCGGATGTTATTCATGTGGCACCGGAAGGGCTAAGTGGACTAAGTGGAGACGGCTAACCTTTACATTGTATATCTGAGGTTTCTGATAACGCTATTGAGGTGGCAATCTCGAAAATAAAAGCGAATTCTTGTGGATCTGACGGCATTGATTTGAAGTTTCTTAGAATATGTTGCTCTTTTATTATACCTGAGATCCGACACATTATTAAGCAATCACTGGTTACACCTGTTCCGAAGATCTCGCAGCCGAGTGGGTTTAGCGATCTTCGCCCTATCAGTATACTGTCCATCATATCTAAAATTTTTGAACGTGTGCTAGCTGATCAGTTGTGTGACCATATACAGGGTAATTCAAATTCGACCCCCACCATTGGGATCTCAGAAACCATAAGAGATACAGAAATGGTTAAATGGGGGCAAAGTTGCGTATCTTAGAGCTCATCATTTTTCAACAAAGTTTTTGGATGCAGCTGTTTTGGTTTTTAAAATATGGCCAAAAAACAATAAACCTTTTTTGCCTATAACTCCTTTATTTTTCGTTTTTTCATGAATCTGAAAAAACATTCTTAAGGCAACTTTTTATGAAAAATGTTATGACACAACTAGAAATTTTCTCCGACGTTTGGTTTTCGTGAAACTCAAAACGAAAAAGTCATTTTTTGTATCTCTTATGGTTTCTGAGATTCCAATGGTGGGGGTCGAATTTGAATTACCCTATATACAGGGTGTATCAGGTAAGAGTAGATAAAATTGAGGGGTTATGGGTCTCCTCTTTCTGAATAAAAAAATTCTTATAACACAATGTCCCATTCTTTGTCCTTCTTCAGATATGATACAATAAAGTTAAGGGTTCACAAGTTTAAGTACTACTGGTTAATGAATTATACTAAGCAGACTTTGCTTTGCAATTTGTAATTTGTTTCTAGTTTTGTAATTTTGTTGTTTTTAATACAATAAGCAAGTTTAGTTATTAAAACCAAAATTTTTGTAAATTTTCACATTACAGAGTGATAAAACAGAAGTGATAAATTTATTCGTATGAAGTAAACAACCTCTAAAAAGTATCTCAAAAATGACTTTTATGTGTCAAATTAAAGCTATATCCATAAGCAAAACCTGCTTAGTATAATTCTTTATACAGCAGTACTTAAACTTTCAAACCCTTAACTTTATCGTATCATATCTTAAGAATGGTAAAGAATGTGTTATAAGAATTTTTTATTCACAAAAAGGGGACCTATAACCCCTCAATTTTTTTCTACTCATACCTGATACACCCTATATAGTTAAAATATTTTAGCAAAATATCAGTCAGGGTTTCGCAATGGATACTCTTGCGAAACTGCACTTACAAGTGTCATTGATGACATTCATAAAGCGTCTGATTTAGGGCTTGTTACTATACTAGTAACTTTAGATTATAGTAAAGCATTCGATACCGTTAACCATAGGATGATGACTGCTATTCTTCATTACGTCGGATTTAATAACAATTCTGTTTGGGTAGAACTTAGACGGTGAGGATCGCTGAATGTATTTCGCAGCATGGAGATGTTGCTTCTGGTGTGCCACAGGGTTCGATTCTTGGGCCGCATTTGTTTTCAATATATACTTCCTCTTTACCTGATTGTTTATCTACTTATAAATACCATCTGTACGCGGATGATACACTTATCTATCACTCATTTCCCTTACAAGAGGCCCAAGACGCTCTTAAACTTATAAATAATGACCTTGATCGTCTAGCTAATCCGTCTTAATCGCATTCATTAAGTTTGAATCCGAATAAATCTTCGGCTACAATTTTTAGTAATGCAAAAGTTCGAAAGTCGTTCAATAGTGACAATATGTTGATCAAGATAAGTGGTATAAACATAAAATTCGTTAATAAAGTAAAAATTTTGGGTCTTGAGGTTGACAGTGATTTACGTTTCATCGATCACGTTAATACCTTGGTTAGACGATCATACGGCAAATTAAAAATGCTTTACCCCAATAGACATTTGTTGAATAAAGATGATTCTGTGTGATTCTTTGGTTCTTTCATCATTTAATCATTGTGATCTTGTTTATGGACCTTGTTTGATGATGAATGATGTGTAGAGAATAGAGAGGGTTCAGAAGTCCTGTCTCAGGTACATTTGAAATGAAACCGTCATGAAAGAATATCGTATAAGCTGACTAGTGCAAATTGGTCTATTGTTTCGAATTGTAGACCACCACGTTATGCAAGGATTACGTATAGAGCCGATGTTCATCATATGAATTTGAGGCGTAAAAACTTAATTTGTATTCTCAAACATCTAACTCAAACTTTGAAACATTGTTGTTCCTATATCATTGGATCGGTTCTCAACAACCTTCCTATTAACTATTCTGATTACAGCATGCAAATATTAAAAAAAAATACAAAAACTATCGTGCCTCATTAAGTGCGAGGGCTGGCGGTAGCAGTGACCAATCAGACTATGTGATTGAGAGAGAATAATGTATTTTGTCTTGCAGTTGTTGTATGGGTGATGAGAAAGAATATTTGAGTTTTATTTTGGAATTATAAATAATTATATATATTTTTTGCTGTGGTGTCCCTTTTGATATTCATTTACTTTTCTTTCCTTCTTTTTTTGTACTACCTATTAAGTTTCTTTTCTTTTTTATTGTTTTTTGAATGTTTTTGAGTGAGTTTACTTCTTGAAAATTAAGTTTATTTCTTTGATTATGTTAATTTGATTTTGTAATTGAATATCAATAAATGGTTTATTATTATTATTATATACAGGGTGATTCTTAACCTATATGCATAAACTTAGGGATTTATTCCTTATGACAAATAATGGCTAATAGATGAAAAAGATTTTTGGTTTCCTAAATATCCGATATATGCGGCGACATCTAGGTATGGCGCCTAGATGACCTCAATCCACTTGATTTTTATTTTTGGGATCACTTAAAAAACATAATGTACGACACCGAAGCTAATACTGAGCAAGGATTGCGAAATTAGATACAAACTGCTTTCGAGACAATCCGCCAATACCCTGGTTTAGGCCGCGCATCATATCATCTCCAAAGTCTTTGTTTCCAGAAATCATCTTACACAGCAAGACCAAACTATCTCATCTGTTTAGAACTGATACCACCATACTTATTTCATATTCTGAAAAACATAATTACACACATTTGAGTGTGTCGTTTGCTCACGTCCTTCTGATTGCAAGAGTTGCCTACACAAATGATGTCAGGCAGCCTTCCTCTGTTTCGTTGTTCTATCCAAAACGTTCGACAAAGTAAGGATAAAAGAATTAGAACAGGGCAAACATTACAAAGTATGTAATGTAAACTGTGGTTACACTATGAATGATTACAAAATCAAGATTGTGTTATGGAGATGATGCCGTCCTCTTGGCTGATACTGAGGGTGGCATACAGTGGTTAACACAGACATTTAACATTGCAGCTGATGAAGTGAATACTGAGGAGCTTAATAAGATTGCGAAATCAGATACAAACTGTTGCGGAGACAATCCGAAAACACTCTGATTCAGGCCGCGCTAGTGAGACATCGTCGATTTAGCGAGCCCAATTGTGTATAAAAAATATTGGAAACAACTTGGAACACTTGCTTTAATGTCATTATAAAATCTTATAAGTATTCTTGATTTAAAAGTAAATTTCATGGATATCTAGGAAACTACAAAACTTTTGCTACAATTTTCTTTACCTATCACTCATTATTTGTCATGAGGAATAAATCCAAAAGTTTATGCGTATAGGTTGAGAATCAGCCTGTAGATAAGGTTGGACTAAGACATTCGTATATTTTCGATTGATTAATTTCTACATGAGGGTCCAAAAAAATCTAATCTTATTGACAAAAACTATTTATTTGAACGCACCTAAAAGTCTGAGCAAAGAGTTGCTTCACTTTTATGGGCAACTCTGGGCGAGAAATGAGTACATGCAACATGTATTCATGTATACTTACCCTCAACAACAATCAAATCAGGTTGTGACATTCTTGGCTTCCATATGAGGTTAGATAATGATATTCTTATATTGATGTGAGGTCATTTGAGGCATTTGAATATTTTGGAATAATTAATTTCTAAACGATAGTACATCACGCAAAACTATTTAATCTAGTTCACCAAATTTAACTGACTCTGGAATGCGTCTCAGAGATCTCCTTTTTGGGTAACTTTGCCCAAGAAATAAGTACATGAAAACACACGCAACATGTATTTCGCAGCCTATATCGCATAATAAATCTTCAATATTCTACATGATTGATAAAAAAAAATTGAATACTCTATCTATTATGGATGTTACTATTAGCTCGCTATCAATCGCGATGAATAACGTATCAATACATCGGAAATAGGTGCCCTCTATTTGATTCAGAAAAACGGCCACAATTGTAACAAGAGAAATATTAATGGCACAGCAAAAGCTTTTTGACAACGAGGAAGCCGTCATGAATGATTTTAACTTGAAATATTATGAAGTGTTAAACGCATTTTTCTTTAATCCACGTTTTAAATTTTATCTTTCTACTTAAAATTAATGTGTTTTTAATTTGACAACACGTTTTAGTTATAATTTAAAATTTTATGTTTTCAAAAAGCTTTCAATAGGTAAGAACAATTTAAACTGAAAAAAATGTTCTTTAACACGAAACTCTGAAGATATCTTAAGTTGAAAGATAAAATTTATTGTTATATCAAATTACTAACGCGAAATTCTAGGAGTGTTAACTTTTTGAATAAATTTTTTCCAAAGAAAGTAATTGGTTGTTTAATAACTGATTCAAATAAACTTTGATGAACTTTATGTTCTAAAATCTTTCAAGTTAATAATGAACTTGATTTTGTATCTAAATGATTAGAAAAGTATAAAACAATTTGAAATAACTTCTTAAATTAAAAAATTAAATAAATAACTCACCTTCATGGTAATACTAAGATATCCGTATCTAGTAAATAGATTAATCGCATGTCCGACCTGCAGTTGCGATTCGGGAACCACAGCTTCAACTGAAGAATCAGTGTTTCCACCAGAAGATCCTCCAGCTACAACTTGAGAAGAAACTTGTCTTTCCCTTCTTAAACTCCTAGAAACTCCAAACGATTCCAACGAACTATCCGAAAAACTCAAAGTATTGGACGTTGGATACGAAACAGCAGCCGAAGATGATCCAATAATAAGGAAGACTGCGTAGATCGTTGCGGTTAGCAGCGCGAGCGACGCGACCGCTCCGCTCCACATTCTTGCCGCAACTGGCACCTGCAGCAGAGAACGGTTCAGTTCAATTTGGTTTCGTACTCTACGTTGCGCGTTTTATGGAAAAAGGGAGAGAGAATCCGTCGTTTTTCGACGACGTCGTCGTCGTTGACTTCATTCGCGTGTTCGCGCAAGCTCAAAAAGTCACTCACTGGGATAAATAAATGTGGACAGGATGTTAAAAGACACAAAAAGTAAATTCTGGGTGGTTTAACAAAGTTTGCTGTATGCTCTTAAAAAAAGATTCTCTAAGTGGTTTTAGGAATGGTTATAAATTAAATACTTTAACACAAAACAAAATAACTATGTCGGTTTGGAAGTAATTTTTAAAATAAATCAACTGCATTCAAATTAAATATAATTGTTGCATTGTTATTTCATTAATTGATTAGTAACTTTGGTAATTGGATAAAAATGAACGATAGTGAATAACCGATTAATTAATATAAATAACATGAGGTTCATGAATTATTAAATTAATTACTCTGTAAATATTAACGATTTTTTTTTGATTATTTGCGGTTTTATAAGAGATTAATAATTAATGTAAAGCGTTATGAATTAAACGCCAACCAAACATTTAATTAAATAACTACAAACTTTTAAAATAATTACTAGATTTAGAATATAAATTGATAATTAATAATTATAGAAATTTTAATACTAAGAAAAATATTTGAATTAAAATTCCGATCAATTAATCGTCTCGTTTGTTTGTATAGTAGTAAACGTGAAAGCGAAAGAGTTTTTTTTATAACGTAAGAGTTACGTAAAACGTCTCAGTGGGTCAATACTAAAGTTTACGACACCACAAAGTTCTACATTGACTACAAATGAGAGAAAAACAACATTTCTCAAAAGATAATAATAATAAATTGGAATGGATGCTTCAAAAATGTTACAAGTATCAACTAGCAACATTTTAACAAATACTGATTGTGACTATAAATAGATAATCTAACCACAAATGCTTGTTGAACTAAAAGAAAAGACCTTGAACGTTTTTATTCAACCAGATTGATACAAAAAACGAGACAATTTTCAATTTAGATTTTCAATTCTATTAAAAATTTTATTAATAATCATTGTGGATATAAATGTCTAAAGCATTTATCAATAAATCTTGATTACTACATGGGATTACAATCTTTGCCATTATAACTTATAGACCTTTTTCAGAATTTCTATAAGAGATATCAATTTAGATTTGTTTTCATATAAAAGATCATACTTGTTCATATTACTAGAATCTAAAAAAACTATTTCTAGCCTTTAGGATTTTTTGTACACATGATCTAAAACCCTTCTATGATAAGGGTTGTAAGTTCTAAATGTAAACAATTTCAAGTTCATAAGTTTAATAGTGTCTAAAGATCTCACTCATGTATACAAAAGACGTACTTTTCTTGGTTAAAGAGGTGCTTATTATGTTGAAAATTGCTCAATGCTAATTTCCGTGAAAGGTGAAGAAACAAATTGTGCTATCTAGCTTTGCTTTAAACTAGAAATTATTTCCACATTCTGTTTACTGTTATCGGATTGCAATGGATGTTGAATTTTGAAAACTCAACTTTTCCGATAAATGCTTGTACATCTGAAATTATTCTTTGCCTCTCTCTTGACGTTGTAAATGAAGTTCATTTAGTTTTTCTGTAAGGTTCACAAGAAATCCAAAATCTTCCAACCAGATTGAATCTTTCAATTATTTCCATATGTCTCATATTTTCTTCACTCACAGTAAAGAAGTAAATTCCCGCATTGACAGTCCATTTCATGGGTCAAGTTTTGAATAATCTTCTCTGTAACGCATCCGCTTTGATCTTATTGACAATTTTTACAACCAATTTCATAACGTCGTTTAGTTTCAGAAATTTTCTACATAATGCTTGTAGATAATACAACATAAAGAAAGTGTAGAAAATTTTTATCTTTGCGAAATAATGCCACGAGACCTTTATCAGAACCCGCTGGAGAACTATCGATCAACCCTACCATCTTAAATATAGGTAGTTTTTAAGACGAAATAATATTTTTCTAATGAAAAAGCAAGTCCTGTCCATTAGTATGCCCTCTTAATAGAATAAACTTAAAAAGCTCTTCCATAATTGGGTTCTTCTTTTTTTGGCCATCCAATACTTCCTCTTCCGTTAGGTGGTTTGTCTCTTGCTACTCGCACAAGTCTGTTGATTGCGATTCTGTTGATGTGTTTGTTCCATTCTTGTTTTCTGTTTGATACCCATTCGTTAATATTTCCTACATTGCATTCCTTTCTTATCTTTCTTATCCTTTCTTATCTTCACTTCGCTCTCTGTCCTCAAGCAGTCTTCTTGTTTTTGATGTATGTAGTCTTGTTTCCGCTGTATAAATCATAATAAGCAATCTTATTTTAGTTGTTCGATTAATATGATTGTTTCTCCAAATCAGTTGCTTGAGGCATCCCACTATTTTATTTGTCATTGTCACCTATCGCCAAAGTTCTTCTATCTCACCATAACGTGTTATATTCATACCCAGATAATGAAATTTCATTGGTTGCTCTATTACCTTACCATCGATTTATTGCATCTACGGGGTTCTTTATACATTTTGTTTTTTCTGCGAATATTTCCATATTATATTTTCTCCCTGTTGTAAATGTACATGTACATGTAAGTCTCTGAACTAATTTGTAGATTTTGTGGGCTTCTGTAGTTTAAAAAGACCTTTCGTTTTTCCTTATATTTATCTTTTGCTTGCCGTAAAAGTACCGCGTTTGTTATCTTTATAAGATTTCCTCTTTTGTACATTATTTGCGATAATTACATGATGACTCAGTGGCAGCCTTATTTTTGTCAATAGTTTAAAAAAGGTCTGCTTCCAATAAACTGGTTTTTCGATTACTTCAGCATTTCTTTCTTGCGGCAGAATTCAAACGGAATGGGTTTTTAAATGTTGGGTCGACAATTCTATGATGCATCTCAATATTTTCCTTTTTGCCAATGGATATAGATGCATTACATAATAAACAAACACTTTTTCCTTTAATTTCTGTAAAGAAGTATTATTTCTTATGGTTCTCATGGATGTGTACCAATTTTTGTTTAATCTTTTCTATATATACTTGCTCTTTAAGTAGAATACATATATGCTACAACCACATTATTGAAAGACTCATTGATATTTTGAGTTTTACCTTGCAAACATTTTTCCAGAAACTCTGGCTAAAAAATCAGTAAACATTGGTTTGATAAAAATAATAGTTTTCTTGAAAAAAAAAAAGGATTTTGTGCTCGAAATCTTCGTTTGAGCACAATATGAGATTGGTCGGGTTATATTCGCACAATACAAATTTATCCATCCAAACAAAGTACAAAGTCCATACTGTAAGTTTCATCTATTTTACAAAATACATAATTCTCCTGATTACTAAGTCATAGTAGATTTGCAGTTGCTTTATGGCAGTTAATGTTAAAGCATTGTGGAAGAAATCCACCTAGAACAGGTCAATCTGGTTTCGCAAGTTTTTTCCCTTGAGCTTTTTTGATTTAATCTGGCCCCCATCCTGTTCTCAATATGACCAAACCGATCGACCTCTTTTATGTCTATGTATTCACCATAGAACACCCCCGAACATTTTCCGTGATTAAGGCTACCTGAAGTGGGGCTTCTTCTACAAGTACGATACTTCTACAAAGTCACATTACCGTTAATTTTTCCAGTGGTTAGAGAAGTCGTTAAAAGTATGCCTTTTGTGGCCATGCTTTTGGTCTACAACTTCCTCGATAGACTTTTCCATTAATTCGTTATTTTACAGGCATTTCTAACAATAATTCCAAGATAAGCTTCATAAATTCTAAGTACTAACAATTGTCGTAGGTTTCAAGACACCACAATATCTTCAACTGTAGTCTTGCCTAAGCCTATAAATTCGCATACCGTAAAGTGATTTAGTATTAAGACCATAAAATATACACTGAGCATATACTGTAGAGCAAGTTCCCTTGTAAGTAAATTACTTGCGTTGTTCTTCTTATGCCCTTCGTTATCATATAAGTTGTCTTCTTCTTTGGTCAGTTTGCTTGCTCTACACCAACGTTGTACTACGTTCAATGTCTTACTTGTAATCTTTTAAATCTTTGTCTTGCTGTTTGCCTCTATCATAATCAGCAATATCGTTGTCGAATTATCTATATTGATGTATAAATATCGATATTGATAATTTTGCCAGTCGTTAGAGAAGTCGTTTAAAGTAAGCCGTTAGTTATCACGGTTTTACCAGCTACAATGATAATCTTGAATTATTCTATTCAAAGTTTTGTTCTTAGGCTTTCTCGATAGGCTTCTTCAAATATATTTCTAAGGTAGACATCATAAGTATGATGGGACAAGGTAATTTCTTTTTGTCATCTTCAACATATTTAGGCTAGTATTTATAACATATGATGCAACTCCGTAGCATAGTTCTACCGATATTTCTCTTGTTTTCTCTTGTTCTTTGTCCCGCAATATTGATTATAAGGGCAGTATTGATGAAAGGGTGAATATATGATAACTAAAACGGATCGATTTCTGCACTCTCATTTCATTTTTAAACTTGTGATACAGCACAATGTTTATAATGAAGTTGTTTTCAAATTTTCAATTTTGACTAATTTGTATCATTCATTTCATAAAATAATTAAAATTTTCCTTTAATTGCAATACGATTTTTGTACATTTATTATAATTTGCATTATTTAATTAATATAGTTTATAATTAGTTATGTAATATAGGTAATTTGAATTTATTAATTTTATTTTACATCAGTGCGACAATTATTTCTGCCAATAACAAAGCCTTCACCACGCGCGATTGAAATATAACAACAAAAGCTTTTTCATACAAAAATATTATAAAGGAAAAATGTGTAAATTTATAATAATAAATAAACAAGCTTGTACTGTTTTTTTGCTTACAATTAATGCGAAGTAACTATAACCTTTATAACAATAAATAAATACATAAATTTGTTATTTTTGCAATA